TAGCTAGTACCGTGTTGCCAAGACTGCCTTTCAAGTTCAAGTTGCAACTAGTAGTACCATGGACAGTTGGACTCGGATGTAAAATTTTTGAGAAGTTGGCACCAGGATTATGGTGAGAAGAAGCCAATGATCGGTACGTATCAAAAGTCACTACTCAAAATTATACAAAAAATGTGACTTGTCTACTAGACGAAGCAAATTAATATTTCAAGCGTCCAGCGTTGTGATTTCTACCAATAAACAGACATGATTCACTAGTACTACTGGTATTGCGAAGGAGTTGTAATGGTACAAATGGCAATATCATATAAGATGCAATTGAGATATCCATCTCAATCGATCGTCTATGCTCTGGACAAGCTCTAGAAGCATGTAAATGATCGCAAATAATGCCTAAGGTAGCACATACCAGCTATCCGCAGAGCGCATCTCTTTGGCATCATTTAGGATGCCGAGTACAGCATCCGTTCGACGAATAGAAGTCCTGATACTGTCGCGGACTTCAGTGGGACAAAAACTACCTAAGGCGCCACGACGGGACAATGACAGGCGTTGATGAAAAATTTCCATTAAATACTGCACTTCTTGCTCGGCCTTCGAGAAGTCGCGTTTTGAATCTTCACACATGGAGCGAGCAAGAGCTTTCCCCCTCTCGAATTCCGAGACTTCCCAGCACGCGGCATGGTAGTTCATGCGACAGCGTTCACGAACTGCTTCCAGGTATTGAACAGCACAAAGAAAGGAGTTTGTGCCAAGTTCTCCCAGAATCTTCAAATATGTATCCCTAGCCTAAACATGATGCAACTCATCAGAATTAATATGAATACTTGAAACAACGCTTACATTCTCGTTGATGGTGCCCGATGAATCATCGACTTCGAAAGGTCTGCCTACCAATCGATTAAAAATATGTTGGTCTTCAAATCGTGTGGTCCAACGGGGAGGATCGCAGTGTTTGCTCTGAGGAGAACTTGGAGTCCGCAGCTCAACTCCGTTAAACGGACTGTTGAGGTCACGGAGCGAACTCTTCGAATTGGGTGTCAAAGGGAATATATCGTCATCTGTGTCGTTGGCTGCTGTTGTTTTCGTATTTGAGTATTTCTCCCAGTGACATATAATTGTTAGTCTTTCATACCTGATCCTGTTGCAGAAACTAATGAGGGAGAGCTTGGAGTAGAACTCGAATATTGGCTGGGAGTTCCAGCAGTGGGAAGATAACAAGAGTGAGGAGGCGTGGAGGGGAGTTTGCATGAAGCTTCAGCTTCAAGCTCGTTACTGGAAGATGGAACCAAGTTGAAGTTCATAATTTTCAACTCGTAAGGTCACGGGGATCCTGGAGATCCTAGGTTGAAGTGCTACGACGGTTGCCGTGCGTGAGGTAAATAGGCTCTTCGGAGTTTGAACCTCCTGGAACTCGTGCAAAGTGAATACATACCTCTTATCGCCTCACACCAGTACATATCCTAAACAGGAATGAGCTGAGAGGACCTCCTAGGACCTAGGTTTTATAATTAGAATATAGTTCAAACTGAGAGCAGAGATAGCTTTTTTGTATGATTCATTGTGCTTTGTCAGCCACTTGACGTATAGATCTACTTCAGCAGCCAACGAGAGAACCAAGTATAGTACTACCTCTCTGCTTTGCCGAAACGGAAATTGTTTATTGTTGCAAACCTTGCTGGGCGAAGTCGAGCTGCACATATTAAATTGGGAACCTCACTTTACTAATCCGGGAATAACTTAGCACGTTGAAACTCACTTTACTAATCTGGAAATAAGATAATTAATGAGCTGCTGGAGGCTATGCATACCTCAGGGAGCATGTCCGTATGGCGTCAGAACTTCTACCCTACAGCAGTACGTCACTAGTCACATAACCAATATAAAAGCTCACCCCTTGAGGTCTGACTCATCTAAATCAACTCCGATCCTCTAACACGATGTTTGATCATGCCCATGCTGATGCATGGGGCAGTGACTCGGATCAACCCTCCATGCTGGTACTTGATCCTGTGACCAGTGATAAGGGGTCGGAATATCCGAGTAAATCCGAGTCACCCGAATCATCAACCGCTGTCAGTGTTCCTGTCAACAAGGAGAAGACTGAAGCTCGCACCTGAAATGAAGAGCATGCGCTAGCCTTGCCTCTGAAGTATCAACTTGAAGAAGTATGAAATACTCATTCAAATGTGTTGGTTGCAACATGCTCAATGTGTCTTCAACAGAAGATCCTAGTCAGCACTTGCTTGGACAACCTCTTGAAGATGTCTGAGTCTGCGTCGGAAAGTCAGGCCTGGCCCGGGGAAGCTGCCACAATGACTCGGAGGACTCACAGGGCAGTAAGTATTTGCAGCCGCATTTTTTATTTCGTTGTACTGACTCGAACTCACAGAGAAGACAGCTGGAGCCGATCCCAACTTCGCCAGTTGTTCGGACGTCACAGTAGCCACGGTGCAACGTGAAGCTCAAGATTCTTGCACTGCTAGTACTAGTGCTACCAGTACCCACCGCCAGACTCGCAAGAGAAAGGTTGCACTCGCAGGGATCGACATCGTCGACAAGGAGAACTTGAACATATTTTCGAATGCCACCCCGGTGGCTATTAAGCGTATCTGCCGGGAGAAAACCGGCACTGATTGGCAAACCGTCCTTGATGTTATTGCGTACGGCGAAGAACGAAATAGGCGGCAGAATCAAGACACGGCAAGTACCGCGGAGGAAAAGTAGTTGAGAGAAAAATTACTTACGAAGTTTGAGTAACTTTTACTCGGAGTTTATTGACGGACCATCCAAGTCAATAGTCGTTTGCATAAGGATCGACAACATGTGTTTGCATATATTTGTAGAGCGGGAAAATAGTTGTGTTGCTGTGACGTATCACACCTCTGTGCCATGTATTAGAAGCTAGACACGAAACATGTTCATGAGTCAGTGTTTGGTTGGAGCACCAATGCACGTGACAGACTGGTGAGACGGCGGAATTCCTCCCTGTTAGACACAATGTATCAATATATGACGAACCAGAACCTGAGATTCAAACATACTGCCACAGAGGTGAGATATGTCCAAGCTTGCGCGGCATTGGGCGTGTCATAACCACCTAAAGCCTAGATGATGGTATGCGGGAAGATATTCTAGTAAGTAGCATCATACCTCCGCCAAGTAACATTTTTTCCCTTGCCATTCGCGGATGATGCGATGCATGCACCAGCCGAGCGAGCCTTAAGGACCAGTTGAGGGTTGCCATGGGATCACCCGCTAGGCCATCTAAGCCACACTGAACTATAATGAAATCAGGTCGAAAGATGTCCTTGACATGTTCGATGATAGGCCAAATGCGGAGGAATGTTTTGTTGGGTGCACGAGCTTTGAGTGGCACTGATAAAGTGAAAGGATCGAAGGCCGGATCATCGACGTCCGGAAGGGAAGCGAGGGGGAAACAAGGGAAAAATCCTGGAGCTGCGTGATGAATAGATAGTGTCTAAAAAGAATTCTTTGGGTCATATATTGTCAATGATTCGAGGTGCACGCACAAGAACTTGAGCAGCAGCTGTGGAACCGGGTTTGTGAAAAGCTTGTGACGCTGCATCTGGAAAATGAAGGTCGAGGTCGAGATACATCGAGTCACACGTGGTTTCGGTATTGTTCGTTTGAGGAAAAGAATGGCGAGAACGCAATCAGCTATGTAACAAAAAGCTGAAGCCCATGCTTTTTTGGCGTGATGTCTGCATATGATGACACTGAGATTCCAAGGAAAGTTCGCCATAAACTAAGCGAGCACTTACCTTCCGCCATCCCAACAAATGGCTATGTCCGAGATATCGTTTCTAGTCGCAGCCGCCCCGGTCAAGGTAACTCCAGCGACTAGTGTGATGTAGTCTTTGATTCCATGAAACATGGGGCAGTCCTACATAATGATACATTGACAGGTCGTGAAACGACACAATCTGTTTGGTATACGCACGTCTTCAAGCCCACACTCTGAAACTTCTAGCAGGTTCTGCACATCGCTTGATTGATTCATGACATATTCGAGATAGTAATCACGACTCACAAGTATGGTAACCCAAGAACTCCTTCTGGCCAGCAGGCCGTGGTCGCACAACCAGGAATCGTTGGGACTCTTGACCAGTGCATGTTGCCAGAAGTCCATATGCGTGAACAAGTGAATAGACGAAGAGAGAACGGTTTCTATTGGAAGGTACACGTTGCCACGGTGGTGCAGAATATGCGAGAGAATGGATTAGACATCACCCAATGACACACAATGGATTCGTAGATACGCGTGCTCACTTTGACTAGGTCTTCTGAGAAGATGTAGGCACGGGTCTAGCATGCAACCCATTGGATTAGACATCCGATGAGTCTACTAGTCTGTCACGGCGGCCCGACGTCACGGTAGTCAGTACTAGTCACGTACCTGGCAGTTGGCAAAATCGGAGTGTACACTGTAAATACTGCTTCAATCATCTTCTTTCTTACATAGGTTTCATCAACAACACCAATTGAAAGTCACGCTGGTATACGAGCAAGTACACCAGCCCGTCTATAAGGCAAGCCAGACGATGTATTTTACAAAGATGATGCGGCTTGCCACCCGTCTCGTGGGAGACATGCACGTGCGCGTGAATTGTCACGGCGTGATGGTATTTTCAGTTAGTAGGATCTCGCGCGAGGACTCAGGCTCAATTTTTTTTCTCAACTTCTGTGGGTGAGAGTCCTGCTATGGCTGGAGGTCTCCGTGCGAGCTCTATGACCTCGCAGAAGTACTATAATAACTATATCATCATCTGCCATGGCTTGCTCCTCGTTTGGGCATAAACATTTCCCCTTCCTTTACGTTCAACCTCATCACGAGTCTTCCCGACTCTCAGCTGGAAATTAATATTCCTCAGGATGAGCCACACCAAGATGAGGCCTACAAAGGTGTTCACTCATCTCCCTCTCGCGTTCCAGTCAATTTTTTTGACCCAGTTGGTGTTAGCGAACTTAAACGCACAATGACATCACGTTCCACACGTTCTCAAGTTAATCATCGGGAAAGCTCTCGTCGCGGAAGTTCACCCAAGCCTCCTATGCCTGCCTCAGCAAAGGGCATCGACACTCCAAGTTCATCCTCTGTGATTCCAGCATACGATGATGATGCTTTCGATTTTGAAGTCACGCTCAAAGACCTCGTCAGACGATGAGTTCCGCCATAAAGAAATTAGTTGCGTTTGTTGATATATTACTAGTCGTGGCGAAGAGTCCATTAAGGGCCGCGAGCTTAGCGTTATGTTCAAGGATCTCCGTATCGTCGGTGTCGGTGCACATGCCTCTTTACAGCTCACCATCGGTTCTATGCTTAATCCTGCTGCCATCTTGAGGAACACTTTGGCGATGCGCAACCAGCCTGTCAGGGATATTTTCTCAGGATTCGAGGGTATCGTTGCGCCTGGTGAAATGCTCTGTTAGTCGTTTTAATGAACTAACGTGAAGTTAAATTTTCGCGCTAATCACGTGTTCGCGACAGTAGCTCTCGGACGACCTGGTTCCGGTTGCAGCACGTTCCTATTGCAAACCAGTGTGGGGAATACCATGCTATACAGAGCGAAGTATGCTATGACTTCTTCACCCCCAAAGATATCGCAAGACAGTATCGTGGAGATGTGATCTACTGTCCTGACGATGATGTCCACTTTCCGACCTTGACTGTAGAGCAAACCTTGTCTTTCGCCATCAAAATGCGTACTCCACATGCTCGGTTCATAGACCAAACCCGTGAACAGTTTAATCGTGATGTAGTTGATATCCTCGTGCGCATCTTCGGTCTTCGTCATGCGCGAAACACTGTTGTCGGTGATGCTGCCATTCGTGGTGTTTCAGGAGGCGAAAAGAAACGTGTCTCGATTGCAGAAGCACTGTCTTGCCATGCCCTCATTGGCGCGTGGGATAAGTGAGGAGGTAAAACATGTTCATACGATGACAGTCTTACATCAGTCGGATACATGGGATATCGGGACCCACGTTGAAGACACAGTCGGCTGGAGTCTGCTGGCACTAGCCGTGGTCATCGCCAATGCGACTCTTCGGTGAGTGATGTCACCTATTCCAGACGTTCAATACTTATCTAGGATGTAGGGGGATTCCTGGCAGGATTCGTTGTTCCCCACGAAAGCGGTCTTTGCTATCGCACTAATGGAGAAGCTCGAATATATGGTGACGATCATGTTTTGCCTCTGGTATGGTATTTGAATTGCCACGTGTATGAGACTAATATCTTCACAGTACTTCGCACTCTCTGGCTTAAATACTAACCTTGGATTGCTTGACAACGGTCAGTCCTGCCAATCATAACTCGCATTGATGAACCTTTGCAGCAGGCATCACTTGGGGATTCACTTACGCAATTATATGTGTGGACTCTTCTGGAAAATTCACTGCATGTACGATCACCACACAGATAACCGGAATGAGTTGGCGAGGGTCAAGCATCGTCAGATCATTGAATAGCTTCAATGCTGCCGTACGACTCGAGGCCCGGGAGTACTAGTATACGACAACGTGCACACCCGGAAATTGGCTAGCAATCGGCTTCGAGCTGAGCTTGAGAACAAGGGTCTTGCCAATGCGTCTGCTATTTTATGTGCATTGTCTTCTTTTTCCCCGCTCCTCTCCGACACCAACGTCACGGTGACTCGGATAATTGAATATGTACAGCCCTGTGCACATCATGATTTCATAGACTTGGAGCGGAGATCATTGATCTTGTGGGGCTCGCTCAAAGCCGTTCGTATATTAGGGAAGTTCTTACGTGTTTCATCACATTAGTACTTGCATTAACCTGTTGCAGCAGATTTCGAACCAACTCGAACTTAAAATTGCCCCAAACCAGACGGCCAAGCCAGCCCGTCCCTGAGTTTTCATGACTATCGTACTGTTCAAGTGGTGCTACTGGTCGTCTGTGAGTCTTGATGTTGGATTCTGCAGGTAAGTGCGTGCTCGGTCACGATTTATCACGGTAACATTAACGCTGTAGATCAGAGCCTCAAGATCAGAGCCTCACATATGCCGTCAGTCACTTGTTTGAATCTTCCGGATCAACGCCTTGTTAAAGATAACCTTAGTTGCCTATTTGGCGTATATTATGTTCAATCCAGTATGCCGCATCCCATAGGATGGATGATAGCTTGGACAAATATCAAGCTACTCCAACTCGAAACTTAGAATCTTTAAGCCTTCGAGTGACAATGTTCGCTAATTGATGAACCTTGCGAAGGGGGTTCTTGTTCGGTCCGATGCGCATCGCCATGGAATTTCGAGTTGTTAGCGGCCCAACACATCTTATTACGACTCTTACCTCAATTTTTCAATGCAGCAACCCCATTATCAATAGTGGTAGAAGGTAATTTAAAAGTCGCCCCAAACCCTCTGGGCTGGCTACCGCAGCGTAATTTCAAGGTGAATTGAATCTATTATTAAATCGTGCCGATGCTGAAAGCCAAATCAGGAATCTCCCAAATAGCGCCCGTACCTCATGGTTCGGCCTAGCGGCTGCAATAAAACTTATATGCTGCCACCTGTCGTTGCATCGAAACTGCCACTAGATTCCAATGCACTCAGGCTCGTACGATGAACAGCCCCTTGACACTTTTATTGACACATCTAATGATAATGTCCGCCAGAGCAGCCATTTCACCTATCCCCTCGCTGCTAGCTCTCAGGCTGACTTGGGCTACCAGCAGTCCTTATCCAATGACACTCAGGCTGTTTTGTTTTCCCATCATGACTCGGACTTCTACTACCGTGGCGACGTTGTGAATGCGCAAGCGAGCCATCAGATTTTTCTCGCAGACTCTCAATCTTCGAACTCACTTCCAAACCTCAACGTCGTCAATCCGTCAGTGTCACTCCTCCATGACCCGTTTCATTTCGCCCCTAGTAATTCACAGGCAGGGTATCATCTGATTTACAACTCTTCTGCTCCTTACGCGGACTCCGGGCCACCACATTTGTATCCTCCTCAGTACCTTTCCGCATTTCCTCCTCCCATCGTGTCCGTTGACGGGATATCTACTTTGACACCAGAAGCAGAAGATATTCAGCCTCTTCAAATTGGAGAGCCACCGCTGCACCTCAACGGGCCACTACCTCTTGGAGATTCGTTCACTGTCGGTGAGCCTCCGCCTCCCGTTCCTGGTCCATCTGGATCACGCAGTCACCAACCGCCGCAAAAACCGATTGAGATTAAATTTTGGCCCTATCCGCATGCCCGATCAAAGCTGAGGGGCCTCAGTAGCACTAAGGTGAGCAATCATGATTTACAAATCGTCAATTACTGATGACTTATCAGGGCTCTTCGGGTGTTGCCCCGCCTATGGTCCTCCCACGGACATCTGCCATCGCGCCTTTACAATACAGCGACAAGATCCGAATCCACCGAAGAATTTTCGAAGAGGCACGTGTAGCGCTCATTCGATCCGCACTCGTAAATTGTCCCTTCTTGACCGAACAAGAAAGAAAGGAGGCAGCTCTTCAAGCACTGGTTTCAACAGCAGAGGTACATGATAAAAGTAAGCCGCAGTACCTTAAAATTGACGGTGTCTGATACTTCCACCAGAGCATGGGAACGGATGGGCGAAAGAAAACCTACCTGCGTTCTATAAGACCTTCACAGTGCCGCCGTCCGCTGATATCACATCAGCCTGCAAGAAAGCCGCCCGTGCCGTTGTTCAATTCGGGTACAAACTGCGCCCCTCAATCTGGTCAGAAGAATCTGAACCACAGTATCAGATTGATGGGATAAAAGACCTCATTGACGACCCTTCATTCCCCTTAAAGTACATATTCGGGAATTCATCTGACCTCCAACGCGACAAATTGTTCGCATTCGAACATCCCGTGATAGAAACTGTTCTTCTCAACGCGATTCTGAAACTCGGCTATGTGCCTTTCGTCACAGAACTTGACAGCTTGTATTGCACAGCTACAGCGGCCGTGGAGTGTGTTCTAATGGAGCTAGCGGGCGGGCAGTTTGCAGTGACCATTGATTTTGGGGTAACTAATTTCAAAGCTAAGCATACATTGCTACAGAAATACATTCACGACTTCATTCTACCCAACCCAGAATTATCGACGCGGTGGCAGCAGTACAAGCTGCGCACTCATGATAGATTGATAGATATATACAACGCTAACCATAATACTCACTGATGTTTGATTTTTGTACCTGTATATAATCAAATTGACCATAATCAGCCACAAGATAATTTTATGTAAACAACTAGCTTAACTTCCGATCACAACATCTTCGTCACACGACCTCCCTACTGTCGATGGGGATAACGTTACAGTTTTCACGCACCTCTTCTTGGGTGCAGAGCTTCATGTACCCACCGCAGAAGACATCGGCACACCCGGCCGTCTTGCAGAATGAATGGACGACAGCAAAGTTGCTGTCACGCACCTAACCCCTGCTATGGGTCAGTTACTCTCCGCACAAGCGACACGTCAGATCCCATCCCTACGAAACGCATTCTTCGTCGGTGACGTCTTAACAAAGCGCGAAGTCTTCGAGTCACGTCTTCAACACGGCGGACTGACCCTTGAGCTTGATACTTGATGCTTTCGCTGTTGATGGCATGGAGGGACCGCGGCGCACTGGACGTTTTTTCTTATGGCTTGATGTGGCTCTTCCAAGGCACGTCTTCAGCACGACCGACTACTCTTCATTGTGATTTCAACCTCCATGGTGTAAGGCCGTGTGAACGCGAATCCTAAAAAATGTGAATCGGGCTTTCATTGACCTTGTTTATAGGGCATTCCCGCACTGTTCCGTTAGTTGAGCAAGAAATATCCGAAGATTGGTGAGCAACCGGTGCTTAACTGGTATTTGCTTGGCTAACAACTACCAGTATCATCTGTTGTTGAAGCTGAGGAGGAGGAAATTCTCGACGCAGCTGGAGATCCTATCAAACTTCCCGTTGACATCACACAACCTAACCCCAATGGCAAGGAATTCGACAACTTATACCTGGATATGAACGGTATCGTGAGTGATTGTAGTAAATACGTTTTTCGTGCTGACCATCCGTATGCACAAAGGTTCATCCTTGTACTCATCCCGAGGGCAAAGTACGTATACTTCGTTCTATAAATTTGCTTTACTCCCTGACTCGTCTTCTGCAGCCAGCTCCAGAAACGGAGGAGGAAATGATGCTTGAAATCTTCAAATACACTAACAGAGTGGTTAACATGGTGCGGCCGCGCAAACTTCTTTTCATGGCCATTGGTGCGCTTTACATTTATGTTGTCTCATACCACGAACTTACTGCAGAGTGGAATTAGACGGCGTTGCACCTCGTGCCAAGATGAATGAACAGCGAGGTAGACGGTTCAGGACTGCTCAAGTAGCAAAAGACAAGGCGGAAGCTCATAAACTTGCTGTCGCTGAGTGGGAAGGTACGTCGTTCTCAGAGCCAATCTATGCTGGATTTCTGACCGATTTCATCATTGCAGCTATGGGTAAAATTATTACTGATGACGAGAAAAACAAGGAATCTTGGGACTCTAACGCTATCACACCCGGTACGCCGTTTATGAACCTTTTAACAGCATCGTCACGATACTGGGTTGTGGAGAAGATGAATACCGATCCAGGGTGGAAAGATGTACGTAGTGAACGTTTCCTAGGGATCCTTCTGACTCATTTCTGGTATAGCTGCCAGTCATTATCTCGGATGCAAGTGTGCCTGGAGAAGGAGAGCATAAGATTATGGACTTCATACGCAGACAACGCACAAATCCCGGTCATGAGCCTAATACTCGACACGTAATTTATGGCTTGGTGGGTTGATTTCCCGCTATCGTGTTCTATGTTATTGACCGTATGTTCAGGATGCTGATTTCATCATGCTCGCCCTCGCGACCCATGAACCATATTTCCGAGTGCTTCGGGAAG